AACATTCGCTCCCAGATCTAAAACACTAGTACCAGTTTCCTGACTTGAACTCTCTTCATATTGGCCAGTGACCTTGACCTTTTCCACTGACCTCCCATATGTTGTACCTTTTGTTGATGTGAAAGCTTATTCAGGCATTCCCTCCAGGTCATGCTCTCCAGTCATTCCATTTTGCTAGTCTGGGTCCTCTGTTTTACCCTCTATACTGACTACCTAAGCTCTATGGTAGTTCTAAGAAATGATTTGGATGACATTGATAAATGCTTTCTTCATCTCTAAAATGAAGAAAATTGTCACAATGTCAGGACCCTTCCAAGCCGGAGATTTTATGAGTATATGCCTAGATGACTCTCAGATTCCTTTAAATGTGGATTACCTTAGTTTCTCAGCATGAAAAAATATTGCATTTTTAGAGAAGGCTAAATTTGTAAGAAAATGTATCTTTATTTTCTGGGTTTCATAAACCATTTATATAGTATTTTCCTTTTATTCATAGAACTAGTACTGTTTTCAGAAAGCAATCGATCACTAGACTTAGCAACCCTAAGTTCTAATGTGTATTGATTTTGTTATGTGATTCTGTTTATTATCCTTTAAAGACTATACTCAGATCTAGCATCATTGTTGTCTTTAATATTATACGATTTTAGAAGTCACTTTAAGATAGGTGGATTCTTTATATTGCTTAAGTATTTGTTTCCCCAAACATTTCTTTCACAAAATGAATTAAAACTTTTTTTTTTTTTTTTTTTTACTAAGGGAAAAAAGTCATTTGGAAATATTATTGGGGCACCTGCGTGGCTCAGTCAGTTGAGCGTCTGACTTCAGCTCAGGTCATGATCTCACAGTCCATGAGTTCGAGCCCTGCTTCAAGCTCTGTGCTGACAGCTCAGAGCCTGGGTTCTACTTCAGATTCTGTGTCTCCTTCACTTTCTGCTCCTCCCTCACTTGTACTCTGTCTCTCTCTCTCGAAAATGAATAAATATTAAAATAATTTAAAAAGAAAATAGTGTTTATTACACCCTTATTTAAACAAACCATTGCCAATCAGTGTGGTCAATTTGTATGATTAACCTATTACAAGGGAAATGGTCTGCATCTTTCTCTTGTTTAATTTTGCAGCCTTTGGTTCATTTAACCTTATGTTTGTAGCATTTCTGGAGAAACTTTGTGTGTTTTGATGCAGAGTAGGAATAGGGAACTCTATTTAAATAATGATTTGTGAAATAAGGTTTCTGAAGCATATTTATATTGCCTAGCTGTACAGCGGCTCCTCTTTCTATAACAATCGCTTTTAGAATTACAGACATTTTTATTATGGATGCTGTGCCTCTAAATATAACAGCATGTGGCCATGGCAAAGAGATTTGTCTTTTGTGAAGCAGAGGTTTAAACCACATATAACAGCAGAGTTCAGGTTGATTCAGTTATCAATATATCTGAAATGCAACAATATATTTCTCTGAGTTCATATATTTCCCTGTTCTGAAAAAAAATCTTAAGGTACCTTGCATGAAAATAAATATTAAGAGGAAAATCATGCATGCATGAAATTTGAAGTCAGTTCCCCAAGTAAGTGAATTCAAAATAAATGAGATGGGCCTACACGTAGCAACTGAAACATAAATGATGAGGATACTTTCTATCTTATTTATCCTGAATGTTTCCTCTCTGTGGACATGTGTGCATGTGTATTTCATTAGAAGTAAACTTAGGAAACATAACATATATTAAAAAAAAGTTGTATTACCTGACATGAGCCTCCCTCCATCACGTCAATTATTAACTATATAGCTTTGTATGAAAAAAGTACCTAGATCAGTAGACATTTTACACTTAGAGTTCACAAAGATCAAGCTCATTGAACTAACAAAGGTAGGTATTGTTATTAAATAAATATCTGCTGCCATTTGAGATTATATTATAAATCAAATTCATTGATTACTTTAAAGAAAATACAGCATGTTCCATCAAACATTCTTTTACTTTAAATGTTTAGTTAGGACTAGCTCATTTACCTAACAGAAGACTACATTACTTGTGTAAATCTATGACTCTGACTAGTTTGATTTTTTCCCCTAATAAAGTACCCAAGAAGTAACACATTTATACGGAGATATATTTATTTGATATCCCTTTCCATTTTCTAGAATAAATCTGTAACTGTTTCTCTCAGATCTTTCAAAATAATCAAAGACTTTATGTACTAATTACATAATATGCATATGATAGGAATCATCTAAGTTCAGTTAGAAGGAATGAGAGATGGAAAACAAATTTTTATGGATTGAATATCATCAACAAATTGCACAAACGGAAGGCACAGGTAGCAGAGTGTAGATAACTCGTAACTGACAAAAGAGTAGAAACTATTTATGACAGTTACAGGGCACTTACCTAGGTGTCTGCCAGAAAGTTAACTTTTCAAAAAATCACAAATGTATTAACTTCTTTTTTTTCAGTTTATTTATATTTTGAGAGAAAGAAGGAGCATGCACACAAGCAGGGGAGAAACAGAGGGTGGAAGGGAGGGAGGGAGGGAGAGAGAGAGGGGAGAGAGAGAGAGAGAGAGAGAATCTCCAGAAGGCTCTGCACTGTTAGCACTGTCAGTGCAGAGCCCTATGCCGGACTCAATCTCACTAACCCTGAGATCATGTATTAAGCTGAAATCAAGAGTCAAACACTTAACCTCTTAACCGAATGAGACACTCAGGCGCCCCAAACATGTTAACTTCTAAGATGGGAAGTCCAAGGAAACAATAAATGGAAATTATTTCGTACTGAAATAAAAAAGGTTATTAGTAAACAGAAAAATTGAATATACCCTCTTGCATCAAGAGACTATCTCAGAGTTCTAGATAAAAGTAGAGCAACATTCTATGTTTTGGGAAGTATTTTTCAGAAGTATTCTGGGAAAATATTTAAGTATAGACACGTGAGGAAGAATTCGGTAAGAATTCAAGCTGAACGGTTCCTTCTTAAACAAAATGTGGTAATCAGCTCATCATTTGCCATGTACATAAGATCGAGAAATCTATGAGGAAAACAAATTTGCTACAGTGAACTTCCTGGAAAAGGCAGATTTAAAATTACTGGTATAAAAATGGAAAGTGCATTTTACTAAAGATAACAGTAAAACAGTAAAGATAAAATATGAATTATATCAGTGTTCAACAAATAGAATAAGCTCATTTATAAACATATTAAGGACATTTAAAATTATGTATAATTTCAAATGAGAAGAAAATTACTGTCCCAAAGAAGTAAAAGAGAAAACATAAAATAAATTAGTTGGTTTAAATTGTGTTCTCTGCCACTTCCTTCCAGAATCACAGTCTAGTATAAGAAATGAATTTGCTAATGTGTCTGTATGTTTGAGGTATCATCAAGAAAATAGGGTTGAGAATTAAAGAATGACAATGAACAAAGAATTGGGGAGATAGTACATTTCTTTTCCAAAAGAAAAAAAAATGGATATTTACGTTAGGTAACCCGTAAAACAATCTTGAAAGTTTGATATTTTTATTTCAGTTTTGTATTAAGTACCTGACATGCGCAGAATGTAGGTGTTCTTCAGATGTGACCTCCATGGAGCTTTTCGTGCATTTGAGAAAATTGTCAGATTGCTTCTGATTATCCATCAATTTATTCTCCTATCAAGTCAAAAGCCGATAGCAATGGGAAAAGATCTATCCAGAGACTAGCTGTACTTTAGATGGGAAAGAAGGCAAACATCAAGATCTGTAGATTTTTCAGTTCATTAAATAATAGTGTGAAGGGAAGGAAAGAAGAGACAAATGATAGAGACTTCTTGGCATATGTAGGCTGGGTGGCAGGGAGGCTTTTACCTAGAATTTCTTGCTGAGAAAGTACGTTTCGAGCAATGATGGGAGAGCCACATACATATATGGACGAAATGGATCACTTTAATCGCCGGAAGCACTTTCAGCAAGGAAGTGCATGAAGACACATGCTTTTCTGGTATCACTGCCACTGATTGTTCCTTTTTTGTACTTTTATATTCATTCTCATCTGCCAGACCTACTAACAGGCTCAATACTTGGGCAGGACTTTAGGTTTTAACTGTTGTACATAAAGGTGTATTATTTCACTCAGAAAAGATTGAAATAGGATGAAATTGAGTAAGAGATTTTTAAAAATCATAACTTTTGAAATGAACATACTGTATTTCCCATATAGAAAACATTCTTTTCACAACCTTCTTGTCCCTCTCTTTGTTCTTAATTTCTCTAAGAAAGAGCTAGAAAAAAGATACCTAAGCATTAGGACACTAAGTTTTAAAAAGGAGAATATTGTCCTGTGTATTAGTTTGGCTATTTCCTCTTTAAGAGTGTAATGCCTACAGCTATTGGAATTTGTGTTCTGCCCTTTGGTCACCTGGAATATTTTGTTTATGTCTTTGAACTTTCTCTGCTCCAAATTTTAGAATTGCTTCCTCCCAACCACTGTATATGAGAAGTATTCCATAAAATTCTGAGTGGTCTGGTTTTGCCTCTGCTACTATTTTAACGGTTTGGGGGCACATCAAAATCCTTTGGGGTCTCAGAATCCTTATCTGTAAAACAGAGAGGCTAGATCATGCTCTCAAAAGTCCTTGAAACAGTAAAAACAATATGATTCCACTGTTTTTGCATTTACTGAGAATCACATATATGGCAAATCTATTGTACATGAACACAAGGATATTTATATTTGTACAAATGATAGCTCACGCTTCCCCAAACAGGTGCCCATACAAAATCTTGCGACTAAAGTGTGAATGATTATAAATTATGCCATAATGTGTTTTCTAAAATCTCATACAAGAGAGAGCCAGTTAACTGGTACATTTATTAGTTGAATTTGAAACCAGTAAAGGTAGATACAGGGGTCTTTTAAAAATCCATTTGTGATGACAATTAAAAATGTTATAATATAATTAAAATCAAAGGTATAAGCAACATTAAGTTTACTATTTAGTTTTTGCGTTTTCTCTTTAGGTTATTCATACCATCAGTGCCACTGATAAAGATGATTTTGCAAATGGACCAAGGTTTAACTTCTTTCTTGATGAACGCCTGTCTATAAACCCAAACTTCACTTTGAAGGACAATGAAGGTGAACACGAATTACATATACTTTTTAATCTATGTGATATCTGCTTTGACTTAATATGGAATAGGCCTGAGCAGTTTTGTTTTATTCTTACATACGCATGAACAGCTTGCAAATCAGCATTCGAAGTCAGTTTGATGTTAATGTGTTATGATCTGTGAATAGCTTGTATTTAAAATTGAGCCATATGTACAAATAACTTTCATTGAGTTTATTCAGAAGCATCCCTTTAAACAAGAAATGTACATGTAATATGCTCTTGGGCAAATTTTAAGAGAAATCTTAGCTGACAAACATGTTTATGAGAGCTGCTTGCAATTGCTAGGAGGTAGAAAAATTTTAAATTAGGAAAAATGAAAAATATGTCCTAGGGACAGTTAGGAAAGGAAATGCAATGTTTGAACTCATTTTGCATTAGCAAGGCTATCAAGATGTGGTGTACAAATTATATTTCCTCTTGTTATTATGAATATTTTTCAAAATATGAGTAGAAAATATGCATAATTGCAGAATATTTTGTAAATTTTGAATTACGTTTGTTTAAACTTCTGTATCGTGTGGGGAAAGAAAGAATACCATAATTTAGTACCTAGGGAAGATTGGCCATGATTTAGATTCCCTGTTCGGTAGATTCCTCAAGGTCTTGTAAAAATCAATCTTCCATATGTAAAGGAAACATTAAGTCATTCAATGTGTGCAGTGTTCTGATTTGTATCAACTCTCTTCTTCCCAAAAACTATCTTTGATCATGTTTATCTGAATATGCTATTATTTGGAGTTTAACACCTACCTCAAAATCATATGAAAGAAACAATAGTGCATCCATTTAAGAGTAAACATTTAATTTCCTCTCTATATATGTCAGGGAGAAGCATTTTCAAACACCAGAAGAAAAAAAAAAATGCTATCACTTAATGTCAACTCACTAAAACATTATTTTCAGCATTCCTAATTCCTTCTTTAATTCATAACAAGAATACCAAACTGTACATGTGGCCATAACAAGGTTTATGTGAAAATACAAAGCTTCATTTTCTCTCATATTAACTAACCTATAGTCAGCTCTACGTACAAAAACAAATATTTGTGCATGTTCATATCTGATAAGTTGTTTTAGTTGACTGTTGCACATTTATTTGCATTTGAACATCCCATTCTACAATCCCAAATATGTTTAATGTATTTATGTTAAATATATTAAAAAACTATTACTATTTCCCATATTTCAAATAATTGCAAAATTTGGAGAGCATTCAACTTTCTGCCTTAGTAGATTAAAATAATACTTAGATATTTATATTTCGGTTGTTTGTTTTTACATTCTAATAAGTATTTAATTTTTGTTTATTAAGTAATTTTCTTTGATGACATAATGAAAATTTGACTTGGATTTAGAGAGGACCTTTCAAGTTATTTAATCCACGTAAGAATAACTCCAAAAATATTTTTTAAAAAAGAGACTTTTAGTGTTTTTGAAACCCACTCAGTGACTAAAAGTCCTTCATACAAAAATATTATATCTGGAATTTGTGAATTCAATGACTGAATACATTCAAAAGGACTTAATTCAGTCATTTGACTCATCAGTCAAATAAGAACTCATTTTCAGGAATTCCTGTCAAATTTATGCACACTCTTAAAAGGATTTATGATCCTGATGTAAATATTTTAATTTGATTTAAACATACACACAAATGCTTAAACTGGCTATACCATGTCAAATATGTGAGGCCTATGGACATTTGTGTGGGGGTAAATATATTTTAATCTATTAGTAAGACATTTTTTGTGCTGGGAATTGATAAAATTATAAATGACACAGGAAAATTTCTTTTAGATAGGTAAAACAGCAATTTCTAGAAAAAAATCAGGTGCATAGCTGAAACCATGAATTTATGCAAGCTGATTTGATTATGCTCGATAAGCCAAGCCACCTAACCTTTCCGAGCCTCAGTTTTTACACCCATAAATTATGTTTTAAAATATCTACTCTGGACCAGTAGTAGAATTTATGATACTATATGTAAAGATGGCCTTTTCTCTAAACACGAGGCAGCTATGGATAATAATATGTAAAGATGAAATTAAAAATGGAATAGCTGTGCCAAAATGAATACTCTCATACATATGTACACTTACGAGTGCATAAATATTTCTCTGGACAACAAAGCAGCACAAAAATGCAAAGGAGTGAATATTAGCAATCTAGGCCTGCTGAATCCTGGTAGCTTCAGCATTTATATGCCCCCAGAACATACAAAATAAATCTAAAAGGAGCAAAGACAATAAAAATTAGTGTGCGTGTGTGTGTGCGCGCGCACACACGCATGCATGCACTCCTACTTGCACACTCCCTGCTTACACAAGAGTGTATCTGCAGGGAACTGTAGGTGGCTGACCCAGCCTCTGAGCCAGGATGAGTGAGCAGGAAGCCATTGGTTTGGTAGAATCTCCAAAACTGCTAAATGGTAAAGACTGAAAAGAAGGAAAAAGAGATTTTCAAGATAAGAGAGAAATGTATACATTATTGTTTACTCTAAGCCTACAGATCAGCACCTTAAAAGATAGACAATGTAGGGGCGCCTGGGTGGCTTAGTCGGTTAAGCGTCCGACTTTCGCTTAGGTCATGATCTTGCGGTTCGTGGGTTCGAGCCCCGCGTCGGGCTCTGTGCTGACTGCCGGCTCAGAACCCGGGGCCTATTTCAGAGTCTGTGTCTCCCTCTCTCTCTGACCCTCCCCTGCTCACGCTGTCTCTCTCTCTCCTAGAAATAAATAAAACATTTTTTAAAAATTTAAAAAAAAAAAGGTAGCAATGAAATAAAAAAGTCAGAAAATGAATTACTCTGAATAATACAAAACACTTAAATGATAAGAAAGATAATAGAAGTATGTTTGGGATTCTCAAAATTAAAATAATAATAATATTTTTTATAAAAAGACCAAGGGATTAAGTGAAATGAGACAATGTAATAAAACAGTCTGTATGAAAATAATTTACAAATCCCTATCGAATTAATTAATTAATTAAATCCTTATCAAATCCTTATTTTTGCACCTATAGAAAATAATATAGAGCTATCTGAGAAACATATAGTAATTCAGTTTTATACATGTAATATTATGGAAACATATATCTAAAGCTAAAATTTAATTATATATGTATGTATAGTGCGTGAATGCACATTATATACATAAAATGATAGTTATTGAATATATAGAAAATATACAGATCTATATATAGAAATATAGATACTTAGTTATATATACAACTATATATATGTAAAATATATTCTTAAGTTTAAAATGTATTTACAAAGACATATATATGTATATAAACACATATAATATATATACACATACACATGGACACAGATATATACAGAGAACAATACAAATTACTAGGCTCCATTACCTCTAGACTGGGGACAAAGAAAGTTTAACAAGTCAAATGTAAAATTCAATAAAGAAAAAGTAAAATTCATTAATTCAATCAAATCAGCTCAAATAGATCAAAACTTTAAAAATGGGCAGGAACAGTGAGCAGATATGGAGTATAGTGTGCCTAGAAGAATTAAGAAGAAATTATAGCATTCAGCAATATAAATAGGTAAAATTACCTGACAGTATTTCACACTGAAAATAGATGGGCTCTTTCAATGAACATAAACACCATAGCCAAGCACAAAATTAAATCCATATTTAGATATGGTTGCTTAAAACTGGTAAAACCTCTAAGAGAAAAATCTTTACATGATGAAAGAGAAAATGCAGAATAATTAAAAATCAATGATAATTCGATTTAAAGTTGATTCCTGGTTTAAAAATGTTTCAAAGCTGGAAGAAGTTGATAAAAGTCATGTGCTGAAAAGAATTTGCTATTATCAATAACCTTCCCTAGATTTAGTTAAAAATGATAAGCTATCTTGAATCAAGGTGGACCCCTTATTTATGATTTTTTCCAATTAATAAAAATAAGATGTTTACCTTTAGCTACTGACATTATGGCAAATATTGTATTAATCTTTGCCTTCAGAATCTCTGTGGAATTTTATAGCCAAGAAAAAAATCTGTTAATTCATTCTTTATTTCATATGTTAAAGCTTGAAGAGTAAAGGCTAAATTAAGAGAATAAAAATCTGTAATTTCCAAAGCAAGGAATGATTTTCAGAAAGTTAAATAATAAAGCTTATTTTATCTGTGGAGCAGAAGTCCAGAAAGGAAAATAAAAGATGCAAAGTAAAAGGATAGAAAATGAAAGAAAGAGATATAAGTTCAAACATGTTGTAGTCATAATCAGATGGAATATCATTTTTAATCAAAGCTATATAAAAACATGCTGCTTAGAAGAGATGTACCAAATTCAAAATAAGATAGGAAATTTGGTACAAAAAGTTCAATATATTTACGTATTGCTTCAAAAGAAACAACTATTGCTGAAAAACGAAACCCATGACAAATTTGGTGTCTAAATTAAAAGACATTTATTCAGCTCACATATCTAAGAAGGAGCAACTTCTGATAGATTCATCTAAGCAATTCTAATGATCTCAGGATACCTCCAGTCACTACAACTCATAGGCATTGTCCAAAATATTCTCAATTCAAAGAGCAAAAAAAATGAGAACAATAATAACTAGAAACAAAACACAAGATTATCCTTGCTAACAGAAGATGAAGCTGTCTATATGAAAATGTAAGAAAATCTACAGAAATACCTTACATAATAATGGGACTTTTTTTTTGAATACTAGTAAATGTCCCAAGTGGATAGATTTCTTACATTTAAGAAAAATACCGGGGCACCTGGGTGGCTCAAGTTTATTCTATATAAAGAGCAATGTTACTTAGAAAATAAAAATGCAACCACAAAGTAATATATTTACCAAATTAGTGAGCCAGAGCACTCAAATCTTCATATTAATCTATAAAGTAAATCTAACGTTAATGACAAACTGAATACTGATCTGTTAATAAAATGCAAATGGTAAAGGATTAAGAAGAGC